GGATATAAAACCAAATATGCAACAACAACATAAGCGTTATTTCATTCCGATCCCGGGGGGGACCGGCGGGCCGGTAGAAGGTTACGCCCTCTCATGAGCCAAGGGACGAAAAAAAAAATGAGTAAAATGAATAATAGAATGGTAAGCGTGCATCCAAATATATACAGTTATGTCTCTTATAATGGTGAAGTGTATATAATATCTATGGTGTTTTGAACCCGTTTTAATTCACCATATAGTAAACTAATTCAATTTAGATATTTGAATAATGTTATGACGTTTAGTCGAATACATTATTCAATATTATATATTGAACCAACTGTTTAACGATTTTATGTATCTGTTAAAGAGGCCTAAGGGCATTTCTTTGGTTTGCTGACCCAAACCATGTTGATGAGCCTTTGAATAGGCGAAACTGCAGTCCACAGCAGATGGTAGGACCAATTAAGGAATGCATTAGGCCTCCACGCCACAGATTCTCTTTTCAATTTTACCTCTGGTGAAAAAAGAAAAGAAATATTTAACATATTTATATATATATTTACAATCGTTAAACAGTTGGTCCACTGTATAATACTGAATAATGAATTCGACGAAATGTCATAACATTATTCATATATCTAAATTTATTTTAGGTTACTCTATTGTGTAGTAAAGCGGACTTAAAACCCCATAGAATACAAATAATGTTTTTTAGTTAATTGACAACTTATGTATTTTCTAATAACTTGTTCTCACTATACTTCCGATTTCATCCTTTTTTTCCTTTCCTTTCATTCTTACTCGTGATCTCTATACTTTCTATCACTCTTTTACCCATCTTTTATTCTTCCTCGTTTTTGTCGCTTGACCGACGTTAGAGGGCGTAACCCTCTAGCGGCCAGTCAGTCCTCCCCTCGGGCTGGAATGAAATGATGATGATGTTGATTTCTAATAACATTGTATTTTGATTATACTTCATTTTGTTCATATTGTTAATGGTTCAAAAGTTAGTCTGTCTATATACTATCTGGAATGTACATTTAGTCTATTATAAAATATGAGACTTGCGTTTTTAAACATTACAAATTGAACGCTTGGAAACTTGCAGTTCAAAATATAAACTATACTTTAAAAATTATCGAAATAGCTAACAAACAAAAATGCACAAGAGTAGAAGAAATATGACTTAAATTTTCGGTGATTAAAATTAAATAATGGGTTGAACAATCGCCAAGTTTTTATATATTTTTATTTAATTAAAGAAGGATGTCGTTTCGAGATAGCGCTCTTTGTGAGATCGTAAACTCTACTATCTGACGAAGAGCGCTAGTTTGAAACGTCATCCTTCTTTAAATAAAAACATATAAAAACTTGGCGATTGTTCAACTTATTATTTAATTTAGATATTATCGTCGCCTATGCGGTTTTAACTATATTCTGTGGCTGTGACATGAAATATGTATTAAATATTTCTCCTATTCATTACTCGGTTCTGGAAAGAAATACTTAAGGCATATTGTCAATTAAACGGAAATCAGGACCATACTATTCACGTGTTCAGTTCGACTGAAGTATATATATATGTCAACAGTTTACTACTTTTAAGCCCAAATTGTTGGGTTGTGCGAATACCCACCATGTGCTACTCCTCCATTCAGTTGGAGTGTAGCAGTGTCACACAAGTTATCGATCAATAAAACATATTACATGCTATACTTCGGCGCAACTGGGGCTTGAAACACTCAATTGAGAGCAACTAAGTGGAACATTAAACTATAAATATTTCAACAAGATGTGTTGTACTTTGCAATTCATCTTGCTAAAATATACAAACCTAAAACATACTATCCATTTACCATGCAAGATTGAACAAACAATTTCACACACCTCACTTCTTAAACATTTGGATGGTTGTAATAACGATTTACTTTGTATCTAGTGGTATGCAATAAATAACTGTAAACTACTATTTATTTGTAATATAAGTTTTTTTGAAAACAAAAATATAAAGTTATCCATCCGTCTGACGACTAACGGGGGACATTAACGACCAATCAAATATGAACACAGACAGGATGTCAACACCTTCACAATATTTAACCTATCCAAATCAGATAGTTAGGATGTTTGTACAAAAATCTTCAAATTACTATTGATTGATTAAACGGATTTGTGGTGGAAAGAAATGAAGAAGACCTATTGTTCATGCAATATTTGGGACATAAAACAAATATGCACCACACCCATTTAGTCACCTAAGTTGATGTTTGATTGTAAAACTATGACAAACAACCATTAATCACCCAAGAATTGGAGCGTGCAAAATAAAGATTTCATGACTTATTTCTAATCAATCTTCTTGACTGTGATACATATATTCACCCAGTTAAGGTGACAACAAACACCGACAAGCAATTACTATTCATCCTTTCTGTTAAAGTGTGAAAGAAATCCCAACGACCAGTGCTTCATTTACACAGTTAGAATGTTGTACATACATTTATGACATGTTACGTGGTGTGAAAGTAACACAAACGACCAGTGCTTCATCTACACAGTTAGAATGTTGTACATACATTTATGACATGTTACGTGGTGTGAAAGTAACACCAACGACCAGTGCTTCATCTACACAGTTAGAATGTTGTACATACATTTATGACATGTTACGTGGTGTGAAAGTAATACAAACGACCAGTGCTTCATCTACACAGTTAGAATGTTGTACATACATTTATGACAGGTTACGTGGTGTGAAAGTAATACCAACGACCAGTGCTTCATCTACACAGTTAGAATGTTGTACAGATATTTATGACATGTTACGTGGTGTGAAAGTAATACCAACGACTAGTGCTTCATCTACACAGTTAGAATGTTGTAATACATTTATGACAGGTTACGTGGTGTGAAAGTAATACCAACGACCAGTGCTTCATCTACACCGTTAGAATGTTGTACAGATATTTATGACATGTTACGTGGTGTGAAAGTAATACCAACGACCAGTGTTTCATCTACACAGTTAGAATGTTGTACATACATTTATGACAGGTTACGTGGTGTGAAAGTAATAAAAACGATCAGCCAATTAGAAACAAAGATAGGATCTTTAAATATATTTAATATTCAACTTATGTACACAGTTAGAATATTGTACACACATTTATGACATGCTACGTGGCGTGAAAGTAATACCAACGATCAGCTTGTTAGAAACAAAGATGGGATCTTTAATTATATTTAATGTTCAACTTATGTACACAGTTAGAATATTGTACACACATTTATGACATGCTACGTGGTGTGAAAGTAATACCAACGATCAGCTTCTTAGAAACAAAGATGGGATCTTTAATTTTTTTTAAAGTTCCACCTATCCAAACAGATAGGATGCTGCACAAATACTTATGACATACTACGTTTTCACCCAGATGGGTTATTAAAGAACTTCCTTAGAATAGAAATAGAAAAGAAAATTGAAGAGCTGTTTTGCTAGTCTTTTTTTTTTCCTGTTTGACATTGATACAAAAAGTATAATTTTTTTTTGGTTGTTGTGCTGCTTTATATATTATTATAAGAACTGAATGTTACTGCATAATATAGTGTTAAAGTAACTGCCTAATATATAGTGTATTAAACTTTCAAACTTTTATATTTTATTGGTACTTAATCTTCGATACTGCAAGTACCCATTACAAAAAATATACAAATATACTCCGCTAATGGCACAGCAGTAAGTCTGTAGGCTTACAACCCTAGAAACCGGGTTTCGATACCTGTGGTGGGTAGAGCACAGAAAACCCATTGTGCTTAACAATAGACAATTACAAAACCACTAACACTTTTAATATGTTATGTTTTCAAAAATATATATATATATATATAAATATTAAATAATTTTCTCCAAACCATTAATACAATAATACCTTTGGTCCATTGTTAATATAACACTGAACTAAGTTGTTTTTAGTTCCTTTATTTTCCTTTGTTTTTTTATTGTCCAGAAAAATCGTCGAGATTGCGAAGATGAAAACAAAAAAGCTTTGAAAAGAGGGAAAGTTATTTATTTGCTATACAGCTTGAAGATAAGATATATGCACTTAAAAGAATGCACTGTAGCGTTCAACGTACCATTGTACAGCAAGCACATAAACTTACCTATGAATTAATGAAGACTTTTTTCCTATTTTTGTTTTAAATAGATGATAAAATAGCAGTATACGAACAATGAACAAGTTTTCAGATAGGAATAACCTTGTATGAAGCTACACATTTTAGTAGGTGCAGTTATACATCCATGTAAAATACTTTACTGTGCTTATCTTATAAATGTAAAACACTTTACTGGGCTTATCCAATAAATGTAAAACACTTTACTATGCTTATCCTATAAATCCAAAATACTTTACTGTGCTTATCCTATAAATGTAAAACACTTTACTGTTCTTATCCTATAATTGTAAAATAATTTACTGTTCTTATCCTATAAATGTAAAACACTTTACTGTGCTTAGCCTGTAAATGTAAAACACTTTACTGTGCTTAGCCTACAAATGTAAAATACTTTACTGTTCTTATCCTATAAATGTAAAACACTTTACTGTGCTTAGCCTGTAAATGTAAAACACTTTACTGTTCTTATCCTATAATTGTAAAATAATTTACTGTTCTTATCCTATAATTGTAAAATAATTTACTGTTCTTATCCTATAAATGTAAAATACTTTACTGTTCTTATCCTATAATTGTAAAATAATTTACTGTTCTTATCCTATAATTGTAAAATAATTTACTGTTCTTATCCTATAATTGTAAAATAATTTATTGTTCTTATCCTATTTTGGCAATAATTTAATTTGTATACAGTTATTAACATACATAGACAACACAAGTCTAACTGTTACCGTATGTAAAGTTTTTTAATCCTACATACACCATTGTCATACATAACTAACTCGTTGTTTTTTGAAGTGCATGAGTTGAAAAACAACTTTCTTCGACCAAATCAAACTTACCTTCAGCGACTTGTTAAGAAACTAATAAAGAATGTAGCATTTTCGTAAAACGGGCCTGGTGGTTAGGGCGCTGGACTTGCAATCTGCAGGTCACGGGCTCGAATCCTCATCAACGAACATGCTCGCTCTTTTAGCCGTGAGGTCGTTATAATATGACGGTTAGTCCCACTATTCGTTGGTAAAAGAGTTGGCGGTTGGTGCTGCTAGCAGCCTTCCCTCTAGTTTATCAATCCAATATTAGAGATAGCTAGTGCAGATACTCTTGGGTAGCTTTTCGAGAATATTTGAAAGTAAGTCTCGAATACCTGAAACAAACAAATAAAAAATGTATAAAACTAATCAGAAGAAATAACCCCATATTTTATGAATTTTCTTGTATGATTAGCATGGTTTATATACGAACAAAAAAACAACAACAAACAAAATACACTCACAGATAGCCAGAGGAACAAAGCAAATTAAATGATACAGTGCTTACAAATTTTAAACTGAAATCGTCCTAAAAAGTAAGTGTTGATAGGTAAATGAGCAAAAAACTTGCACAACAAAATGAGTATTTCAGAGCTACTTGATGTATAGTTAAAAACAAATGTTGTTGGAGAACTGAAATTAAAGCGATGGATAAGCGTTGTGATGGGTCAAACTTTCAACCATTTCTATAGGAGCTGAAATGGTTGAAAGCACCTTCATCAGTTAGACAAATTAGGTACTCATTCTTCTTATTATTTCTTGGCTATTAACTTTGCAGGTATCTGAAGGACCCTCGATAATGCTGGCTTCAAGTGACTGTTGGTGTCTCAAGCCCAGTAAATTAATACACATTAACTTTACACTAAAGATTGATGAATATAAAAGTAGTCTGCTCATATCTTGTCTCATAATTTCCATATTTGAACGATGTAAATGTTTTTTTCAGTGCTTAGAAGAATATATTGTCGGCGGTAACCTAAGTTATTAATTATGCAACACACGAGTTCTTACATCAAACTACAGAGAGCTGAATATGTATGCTAAGTAAATCGATAAATTTCTGGAAGTGACTTTGAATATCATTGGGATATTTATACACGTAAAATACGGTTATTGTCGAAGAGACGTATATTTCTCTTTCTTTTTTTGCGTTACGTACATATCAAATAACACTGGGTATTTGCCATAGTTACACAGTGTGTTGTAAGTGAAGTATATTACTGCTTATTAACGACTCGCGTTTTGTGTAGCATTTTGTGACGTTTATTACAAATATAGCTACAGATGAACAGCTACTGTTTATTCATTTTGTGATAACTTGCAGTTCGTTTATAAAGTGTGAACGATATTTGAATTTGCTATACATTCACCACATTATGACATTTGTTCAGAGAGTGTTTGTACAGTACAATATTATATTTTAACCTGCTTGAAGGTTTTGCTTTTGTTTTCTAACCTAAGCTTGTCAGTTTTGATTTCTATCTGAATAGTTTATTATGAAGATATAGTTTGTTTGTTTGTAATTAAGCACAAGGCTACACAATGGGCTATCCGTGCTCTCCCAACCACGGGTATCGAAACCCGGATTCCAGTGTTGTAAGTCCGCAGACATACAGCTGTACCACTGGGGGGCGAAGACATAGTAAGGTTTTCAAAAGTATATTTGGAATTTCATAATGTAAGAATGTGAATACATAAATTTAAACACGTACTGATTGAATTAATTTCCCATAATGTAAGAATGTGAATACTTAAGTTTAAAGACACTTTAATAGGATTGATTTCCCAACATCTTCGTAACATGTGGCTCATCATGTATAAAAACAAAAACAAAATCTTTAAATTTATTATGGACACAATAATAATGAACAAAAGTTAAGAAAAAACCCTAAGAAGTTATGATATTTTGGGATTTAATATTTATTTAAAAAATAATTTAAAAGAGAAGATAAGAGAAAAAAAGAAAGAAAGATGAAACTAGGAGATGCTATATAATTTTAATTCAGACAGATAGCAACCAATGGTTTTTGTTCGTTTGTGCCCACTGTGGGTATCGAAATTCGATTTTTAGTGTGACAAGCTCTCAAACATACCGCTAAGCAATCAGGGGGCACAGAGATTGGTAAGAGTAAAAGTAATCAGAGATATAAAGAAGTATGTGATAAGGAGTTGTAGAGATTCAGGGGCTGTAGAGATTTAGGAGATGTATGAATCCAGGAGCTGTAAAGATTCAGAAGATGTATGGATCCAGGAGCTGTAAAGATTCAGGAGATGTATGGATCCAGGAGCTGTAAAGATTCAGGAGATGTATGGATCCAGGAGCTGTAGAGATTCAGGAGATGTATGGATCCAGGAGCTGTAGAGATTCAGGAGTTGTAGAGATTCAGGGGCTGTAGAGATTCAGGAGATGTATGAATCCAGGAGCTGTAGAGATTCAGAAGATGTATGGATCCAGGAGCTGTAGAGATTCAGGAGATGTATGGATCCAGGAGCTGTAGAGATTCAGGAGATGTATGGATCCAGGAGCTGTAGAGATTCAGGAGATGTATGGATCCAGGAGCTGTAAA